CAAGAATGAATGCAGACTGTGCAGAGACTGAGAGCTGACAACGAAACATCTCTTATGAATTTGATGCTCTGCAACACAATGTCTGCCAGAAAGATGCAAGCGGTCTGCGTCGCATTACACCAAACCAAAGGATTGTGAAACAAGAAATTCTGGATCGACGCAGCTGCTGCCCAAAATTCCAACACAACTTCATAATGATTTATGCAAAAAAAAAGAGATGACATTTGGATGTACAAACTATACGAGACACGTAAAGAGAACCATTTCAAGAAAAATCTTTTTATCTTTAATATGGTCACAATGGTAACCACATAMATGCGTCTGTCGCTCCCTGACTGCCACGTTTATGAGAGGCAAACAGCTTATAATGATCTTACAGTGTTTTATGTAGGAAAACATTTGAGGRAAAACAATATCTTATAAGGACACAATGAGTAAAAAAACAACAGCAAACGTTTAAATTTGATATAGAATTTACATATGTAGCAAAATCAGTAGGGGGAATATAAACAAGTTTTTTTTGGAAAAGATTAAAACATTGTATGCATCTCAATGTTTATATCAACTGTCAATCAAAATCAGTAAAAAATCCTCAAAACTCTACTTGATATTTTGTAAAAAAAACTGTACGAGATATCAAAAATGTAAGTTCAGACAYGTAAAGTCCAACTTCCAGAGTCCTGTTTAAACTTCAAACGATGTTTCTAATGTCAAGTTTAACTGATCTATAGAGCACCAAAGTGAAGAGTTTCACCAAAATTGGGGTGGGGTTCAARCTACATGACATTGCGCAGTATTCCTAATGGAGTATATTTTAATTTAAAGCTCCTCAACAAGGTACAGGGCAGAAACTTTGAACAGGACCGTAATAAAGATGCTTCCATACACTGGTACTCCTAATAATCTTGGACTTGTGACTTTTTTTTACCGTCTTCTTGCGCTCAAAGGGAAGACCCCATCCACATTTTTTTCCAACAGGAATTCCTCAACTGTATCCAGTTCCACCACATCAGCAAGGCAACCCTGGCCTACATCCTATACGTTGTTGCTTTAAACTACCGTACACAGCCGAGGTCTCGTCCGCCGCAACCTCCAAGTACCGCGGCTCTCTGCCTGTTAAATCACATTTGTAGATTCATATTCAACATGAAGCCCTGAACGAAGAAGGAAACTGAGCGGGGAACGATCGACATCCCTCCATCACTGAAAGCCTGCGCTGCAGTGGGTCACATAAGTGGCTTCTGAGGCAGCATCTGGCGGACCACTCTGCTTTCTTATGGACTGTGGAAGCATGTTCAATTCTTCGGCTCTGCGGGAGATAAGGGCCATGTTCTCATCAGATCACTCGCCATGAAAAAAACGTGACTGAACTGAAGGCGATGGGGACAGTGGCTGGCTTGGTATGACACATACACAAAAGAAATTTTAAAAAAAGAAAGGGATAAAAGCATGGTTACAAAGAGCCGCGCGTTTTGTCCTCCGAGTATTGAACAAMCTCACGGATGACCTTGAAGCCAGATACGAAAAAAAGAGCTCTTAAAGCCTCACAAAATCCCACCTCTAAAGTCAAAAACTCMCCGTCTTAGCAGAGATGTGACTGCCACGGTAGGAAAAACACACAYGTGCGCAACAATGTATTGACAAGAAAAGAAAAGCCAATTATTACAAGTCTAAATATTAGAAGCAGCTGAAATATTCTCATCATTCCACATTCGGCAAATACAACAAGAGCAGGGGCAGAGTGGGAATCAATTACAGGATTTTTACCCTGGTAATTCAGTTTGAGTGCTGCTGTGTTCATCGGGTCACATTCAGTCCTCATTTCATAAAGGAAATGAAGGGCCCAGCATTCCTTAAAGGAGCGTGTACCGCATTTCTTCTCACTCGCTCTGCTAGCCCTTAAAGTATGTGGCGTGAATAACTCCCAGCTTGGTATTGGGATTGGTAATTGGGGATGGGTACAACCCAGGTGAGCGGGGGCCTCATAAGTGGGCCCAATGCTCTCCCCAAAAGATACTGGGCTTTAATCAAACCTTTTTGTCCCTCGATTGAAGGACACCAGGTTAGAAACCCTCAGTGTTCTAAGCTTCTCGGGATCCACAAAGGGGTCTCCAAGAACTCTTTCTCTTAGACTACTCAGAGCCAAGCATTGGCCTAAGTAGTGCAAAGAGGTCTCTGATTCAATGCCGCAGGCATCACACAGACCATTGTCTTGGAGTCCCATCACCATTTTATGGCGGTTGAGCAGATTGTGCCCAGTTAGGACTCCAACCAGTGTACTTAAAGTATTCCTTGTCAAGGCAAGAAGGGATTTTCCAAATCCCATAACTCCCAGCTACTACCACATCAAATTTCAGCCTATTATCTATAAAACTGACTGAGATACAACCATTTTTATTAGACACATTACCTCTAATTAAACATTAAATCTGCTGATGGTAAAAACGGAGAAATGGCACCTTAGTTTAGTTTTAGTTCTCAAAGCAGCTAAAGTGATCCTCATGACCTTCTTGCTTTTTTACCAACTTGGGGGTCAGATTCACTTTAACTGGTCATAATAACTCTTTGGGGGTGATCCAGTTGAGGGAAACTTCTGGTGTCCCTTACACAGGTCATGTACAAGTCGAGACGGACTTTAAAAGCCCCTCTAATATTCTGTGGACGCCACAAGAACAAGCTGTGGCTGCGGACGCTCGGAGACAGATGGTTGCAGGAGTGGGGGTTTCTTATGCGTGACGAATCGTCGCATCTGCCGGTGTGATTCTGCGACACTTCAAGGTCGGCTGACATTCTCGGAGAAACAAGAAGAAAACTAACAAACAAACAAAAAGGGGCCAAGGCTGTTATCATCTGTTCCCTGAATAACTGATGCTSCTGCAGTCCGCCAGCCATCCTGCAGCGGCTGAGGCAGATAGGAATCCTGCAGGGCAATCAAGATGACAGTCACCCTCCTAATACCCAGGTGAGGTGACATTTTGTTGCCAGGATAGAGGCTTAGGATCACAGAAAGCGGCGTTTGGATTGGTATGAATCCGTAGAACCTGCAGGAGGAGCTCAGGATGATCCGTCCCCGAGCTTTGTCACGCCTTGTCATCCGCATTACGCGACATCACAAGAACAGCCCGGCCGAAGTTAGTCAGACGTCAGGACGGATAAAAAAACCCATCAAAACTCGATCAAAACAAAGTGCCTGTGTGGCCCCTGTCCAGACCGGGCTGAGTTCATTTTCATTTCAGAGGCATTTTCTAATTAGATGAGAAGCTCCGTTTGATGTACATGATCTCATTGCATTAAAAGGTAAACAGAAGAGAGAGAGAGAGAAAGAGAGAGAGAGAGAGAGAGAGAGAGAGAGAGAGAGAGAGAGAGAGAGAAAAGGGTATTTTCCCAATTTGCCTGCAGTGCAGCGATACAGAAGGCTGTGATTGTCTCTTGCTTATTCAGAGACATTTGTAGATTCGCAGAACAAAAGAGAGAAATTGATCTCTAAAAAACATTTCATTCCTGCTTTGTTTCAAACTTAGACTCTCCAGTTCCTATTTCCCCAATTAGCTACAGTCATATTTGGTTCATTCAAGGGGAAAAAAAGACCCGTCTTATGATTGTTGCAGCACGCCATGTCTAAAAAGGAAAGTTGTGTTATATTGTTCCAAGATAAAAAAATAAAATAAAATAAATATATTGAGTTTTAGAGGTGCAATAAAACATATCAATCACCGCCGATAGAATAATTTTAAGACAAAAGCTTTATTTCTCCATTTTTCTTTTTTTTTTTCCATAACAAAACTCCCAGAAACTGAAACCAAAAAAACACAGCATCCTTGCTTATGGGGATACTTTATACTGTGTGCAAGAAGCTGGTCACCTCCATATATAATTATTGAAAAAAAACTACAACTGTCCTGTCTGAGTCATCCAATCAGAGCTATAAACTGTCACAGATTAGCTGAGTGCCAATAYGGGAAAATCACACTTGTTATCAGCAATATTAAACATTTACAAATAGTTTGCCATATGTTAATTAATAAAAACACAAACAGCTTGTCATACTATATACAATAATTAGACAAAACTGTCACCAGGCTTGTTTTGAATAAATGAACAAATAGCTTGCCATATATTATCAAATAAATATAAACAAAAATACACAAATGGCTTGCCACAAATTACCAAATACGTATAAACCACTTAAACAAGTACACAAATTGCTTGCCATACATATCAAAGAAACATAAACTGCTTAAACAAATGGAAAATGACTTGCCAAACTTTATCAAATAAATATAAACAAACAGCTTGAATAAATACCAAAAAGACCTGCCACACATAATGAAATAAATATAAACAAACTGCTTAAACGAATACACAAATTGATTGCCGAACATATTAAATAAACATAAATCACTTCAACAAATGCACAAATGGCTAGCTATACTTTATCAAATACACATAAACAAACAACTTAAACAAATACACATTTGGCTTGCCGTACAGCCACTTTTTGTCACTCTCCACTGCTGCYGCAAACAGGCTAGCCTTCAATCTTCTGTGTTATTCTAAACTAGCTATTCTTGCTTTGCTGATGAGTGCTTCAGCTAATATCTCCCTTGATTCTTTTTCTGTTCTAACAGTTAGTAAAACGCAGTGAAATCAAACACAATCCTGCTCATCTATGTTGAACATATTTTCATCTAGTTCAATGTATCCATAGCCTTGTACAGTGATAAAAGAATGCTGAATAGATATTATACAACCCAAAACAACCAAACAAAGGAGAAATCACAGAGAGAAATTTTTCAGGGGTCCGCATTTAATTTTTGTTTAACCATAACTTAATTTGGCAATGTGAACAAAAAGCTAAAGCACAGACTCGTTTTTTATATTGTTTGTTTTCTTTTCTACCAAAGCAGCAGGAAAGGTATAAATCATTTTTACACACTGCTGAAAGCCGTGGCATCCAAACAMCGGTAACTCCAGCTGAGAAACAGAAATTAGCAAATTACCTATGTGTCGTGGCTGAATCCAAGCCGCTGAACCCATTATTTCTGCTTGGCTGCGATTGTAAAGGCCTCTCCAGCTGTGTTTGAAACAACGCTGGCCAAAAAAAAAAAAAGAAAAAAACCATAAACAAGAGAGACGAGAGAACTCCTGCTGTCAAAAGTTGTGAATCATTAGAAGTTTAGAAGGAGTGGAACAAAGAAATGATCCAAGCTGTCCACACCAATCAATACCGGAGCTGCTCATTAGCGGAATAGCGCTCGGAATGAGCAGGAAAAAGAAAAGGATAGCACAATGAAAATGGCTGGTGGAAACTGCGAGCGCAGGTGTAATAAAACAGGATTACAGATAACTGCTTAACTCCTGCATTCCACCGATATCTTACAAAGCAATGACTACACCTACCTTATTAATCATTATGGGCAGAAATTCCATAAAATGTCGACCCGCGCTGACCTGTGTGAGCTCATTGTCTGGTGGCATGCTGCAGCTTTACATTTTTTTATTTTTTTTTTTCCCTGAGAAGAGTCGAACCATGCTACGACGTCAGGCTATTTGCTCTATGAGAACCTGACTTTTTAGCTGCATTTATTATGTATGAGCGGGTTAAAAGGGGTCCATGAGAAGATTATAAAAGCTTAACATTTTGATGAGATTAATCTGGCTATCAATCTTTTCATGCATAGAGTAGTGAGCCAATTACAGCCAGGCAGTAAATGATTAAATAATATGTATATATAAAACTGGGACTGGACTTCTTCGAAAGCATGAACTGGAAATTAAACGCCTAGCATTCCTCGAAGGAATGCATATCACCCTAATTTTAGACCCTAAAATATATATAGAGTATGTTGGAAAAAAAAACTGTTATACTCATTTCAGGCAAACCCTGAAAATAAACGTGCTAAATTGGTGATTTTTCTCATATCTGTCAACGTTATGGGGACCTTCACTTGTATGTAGTGTTAGCTAGCACTAACTTTCATTACTATTAGCTTAAGCATATTTTAGGCAGCATTAGCTTAAGTTAACATTAGCCGTATGTGTCCAAATTTAGAGGCTGGGTCCTCCGAAGTATTTGAATTTGGACGGTCTAGCCTTACATCTATACCCCGGTGAAACAACCGTGATGACACTAAACAGAAGCAAAAATACAGTGGGGAAAATAAGTATTTAGTCAGTCACCAATTGTGCAAGTTCTCCCACTTAAAAAGATGAGAGAGACCTGTAATTGACATCATAGGTAGACCTCAACTATGAGAGACAAAATGTGAAAAAAAATTTGAGAAAATCATTTTGTCTGACTTTTAAAGAATTTTTTTGCAAATAATGGTGGAAAATAAGTATTTGGTCAATAACAAAAGTTCATCTCAATACTTTGCTGTACTGTAGATTGAAATTAGCAAAATATATTAGTGTCATTAATATCAAAACACAACAAAATTAGCTCAAAGGCGATATTTGAAGAACTAAGGGACCTGCCGTAGTACATGTTTATTTCGCTAAACCGGCTCATTTTATTTCTGACAAAAACAATATTTAAAAACATGTCTATACAAATGACAAAAGCATTAACAACACAACCACTTGAAACTTTAATTTTTTTACCGCCAGATTTTTATTTAAACTGTACTCCCTTCTCTCACTTCGTCCGCCATTACTAGCAGAAAAAAAAAACTCTGGTCGAGCCCCAATGCATCATGGGGTATGGTGGACCAAGAAGGATCCATCGGACCCATCCTTTAAATCGGGGCAAAAGATTGACGCATTTGTTGGCTGCATTGGAGGAGTCTTGGGATTTGGACAGCCTTGGGCACGGCGCTGTGACGTAAAGGGTCGACAAATTCGTCCCTCGGAGGACCCAGCCTCTGAATTTGGACACAGTTGAAATGTATAAAGCTAACATTGTTAAGCTAACAGTTGTGTAGTGTGTGCTAGAACTAGCTTCCATTATTGTTAGCTTAAATGTATGTTAGGTAGCATTAGCTTAAGTTAACATTAGCCTAAATGTATCTTAGCCAGCCTTAGCTTGGCTAGTTTTACTGTGAATGATTCTGTAAACAAGAACTGTTATTGAAAATAATGAACCTTATCTTTAATGCTGCTTAAAGGGACAATGTCATGTAAAATCAACTTTTTTGAGTTTTATATCATGTTATAATGTTATACTCTCATAAAAAACATACCCAAAGCCTTGCTTTGACTCATTCATGCATGTTTGAGAAATCCTGCAGCGTTTTTAGGAAGCCATGCTGAGGAGCAAAACGACAGGCGGGGATCAGAAACGCCTCTGGGACGTGTCTTTAAGCCGAACTTCCTCATGGCAGAGCGCAACCCCCTCCCCACACACCCCGCCCATGACTCCTGCAGGCTCTCGGGTGTAAGTGAAAGTGAAACCTAACTATCTGCTGAGCTCTCAACATTAGTTCTCACTCAGTGAAGCTCTATTCAGATTAAAAAAAAACCTTTGAGGAAATGTATTTTCAGATGCCAAGTAAACTGCATCATAGCAACCCCCCCAGGAAATGGGCGCGACAGAACGGAAGGTGGTTCTTAAAGAGACAGAGGCCAATTTCAAGGCGTTTAAAAGAGGAAGTGATGAGAAGATGAGTTTATTTTCTATTTAAACATAAAAACAGCATTTTAAAAACATCTGAAGGTGACATATATACTTTATTATGGTATAGTATTTAAATSTATGCCTGAGAAACACATAATATGGGCCCTTTAAAATGACAATCATCCTAAACAAAGTTCTTACGTGATCTGTTTGCCTCTAGACTACTATAACACCAAATTACAGTTCAATAGTTGTAAAACTGACTTGAGTGTACACATTTTTGAGTTAGCTAAGATCTCTTTGCAGTGGCGTCCATTTTGTATCAAATCCAAATGTTATTCAGTCATAGATCCAGTAGTTACTTTCTAAAAGTTTTCTTTAAATCCATTCAACACATGTGTTATTTTCCTAACAGGCACACAAACAAATGTAGACACAGGCAGAGGCATTACCAGTCGTTGATACAAAAAATTWAAAAAAAGTTACGCCTGCCCCGACTGCTATAGGAAAATGTACACAATGTAATTTGTTGCTACCGGTGGGGTTTTAGRGAGTGAGCAGGACCGCAGCTATCAATGCAGCCTCTGTCAGAAGATGGAGTACCACTGTGGGGGAACAGGAAGGGAGTGGATGTCAGTAGCCTGAAGAAGGAGATCTGACATCTCAACTCCCACCGTCTGTCATTCTGTCTTCCAGATGATGTATGGACGTTATACGGYACCACTCACCCCACAGAGACGGTCAATACCGGCATGCTGAGGAATGCTGCGGAGAAACAATGGGGTGCTKTGACCCATGCTATGGAATGACAAAACTTCATGGGGTGTTGGGGGAAGGCATAGAGCATAAAAAAGGCCTTAAGGTTTCATGGAGTCATTTATATTTAAATCTGAATTACAGCAAAAGTCAACATTTTCACTTATTTTGCRCTGCAGTGCCTCATACTGACAAATTTTGGTAAAAGAAAACGACAGACCAAAAAGAAAAAAAAAAAACTTGTTGCGTATCAACCATTGGCTGCCACGATTTTAAAAGAATGGCAATTAATAAAACAAACAAACAAAACGTTTTAATTTGTAGCTCCACGATGGCGGATTAAGCTCCTMAACACGTCCCACTGTGCCTTCAAGGATCTCTTGAAGACTCACCTCTTCGTGATAAAACACTTTCTCTTCTAACATCTGGAACATAACCACCGTGCACTTGCCTTGCACTTGGGTGCCTGTTTCCACCTGCGCTGCCGTTCAAACAGATTTAAATAGATCTGGCACTTGAACATGCAGGAGTCCTCGGAACGACGAGTGTAAATTCGAGTACATCCCATCAGRCACTCGGTCCAGCCCCTCCGTACCAAGGTGACATCCCCGAGCTGGCAGGGGAGAGAAGGGGGAAAAAAAAAGACCCACCGTTTTCCTGCGCCTCACCCATGGGGGCTCGTTCGCTGCCTGCATGCCAGCGGCGTTATCCGCTGCTTATTATTTGGCTGAAGGAGCTGGCGTGCAGCTCACGGGCTCCTTTCTGACATAATGACTGATTACAGTCTCGTGCCTCCTATCTGTGAAATCCCACGGTTTGCCGCCGCTTCACCACAGCGGTTCGAGCGTCGCAGGCGAGGAGAGCGCAGAGTGGGAGGGGAGGGGAGTCGGTGGGCTTTTTTAAGTGACAGCGTAACAACTTTCTGCTTCTGGAGCTGTCATGAGCGACACAGGCTCTGGTGGGCAGCCGGGTCATCAACCTACTTGTCATGTACTTTGGTAACGAGCACTACTTTACTTTACTGGGAGCAGTATTATATCTGCTTTACCAGAAATGGRAATAAATAAAACTTGAGCTTGTTTCTTCTTCTACCCAAAAATGTCTGATGCATAAATATTATCGTCCAATAAAAGGATTTTAATGACACTTTTCAGAAAGTAATCACCGGATGTACATCTGCAACTAAGGAACTTTTGGAGTCAACCCAATTCCAGAAGCCTACCAAAGCCAAACGACCTTAAAAACACATGAAAATGTCTCAAATTTAGTCCATTTTCCAAATATCAACCTAGAATGTGATGTGATGGTAGCTGTGCCTGATCCACAACACATGCTCTGACCCCCATTAGAAAATTAAGACCGTTAYTTAAAATGTTGCCATTAACTATTTGTAGTYAGCTATGTCTGTCTGTTAGCAAAATATCGCATGAACCACATTTTATTGAAACTTTCACTCGTAAGAAGTACCTCTACAGCTGATTAACTTTTTAAAATGACACAATCCATGTTGGCCACCACCGTCAACTAAACGTAAGCAACAAAAGAATGGCTATAATTCAACCAATTTTACAGATACTGTGGTCAAACTTGATGTATTTGAAGTAAAGAGTAATTCACATGTCAAACTCAAGGCCAATGGGYCAAATGTGGCCTGCCACAGCATTTTATGTGGCTTTAAAGATGTATTGTCTTAAAATAAGAACACGCTGCTTTAAAGCCAACACTGACCAAACTACATCTCTCATAATTCATGTTGATTATTTTACACAAGAAATGATGA